GATCCCTGGTCAGGGAATTAGATCCCACATGTATGACGCAACTAAGAGTTCGCATGCCACAACTAAGGAGACTGCCTGCCACAACTAAGGCGCCCACGTGCTGCAACTAAGGAGCCTGCTTGCTGCAACTAAAACCTGGCACAACCAAATTAATTAATCAATTAATTATTTTTTTAAAAAAATGATAGTCTTAAGTGAAAGTGGCTTCTTAATTCTTTTACTGCCTAGGTGTGGCAGTGAAGAATACAAGTATAGGGACTTCCCTGGTGGCACAGTTGTTAAGAATCTGCCTGCTAATGCAAGGGACACAGGTTTGAGCCATGGTCCCGGAAGATCCTACATACTACAGAGCAACTAAGCCTGTGCACCACAACTACTAAAAGCCTGCACTCTAGATCCTGCGAGCCACAACTACTGAGCCTGCGTGCTGCAACTACTGAAGCCCACGCGCCTAGAGCCTATGCTCTGCAACAAGAGAAGTCACTGCAGTGAGAAGCCCGCGCAACGCAATGAAGAGTAGCCCCCGCTCGCCACAACTAGAGAAAGCCCGCGCAGCAATGAAGACCCAACGCAGCCAAAAATAAATTAAAAAAAGAATACAAGTATAGTACAAGTTGGTGCCACACTGCCTTGATTCATTCTAATATGCCAGCAGTTTCATCCACTTTTCCACAATCAGTGAAAATACCAACACAATGAAAAAAAGCAAATAATGTCTTAATATCATTATGAAAATAGTTTTGACCATGCAGACTCCCTGAAACCATCTTAGGCACTCCCAGAGTGTGTGGACTATACTTGGAGAACCACAGAATATATCTGTAGAATGTATCCACTCATTCAACAAACATTTATTGAGCCCTTTCTATGGTCTAGGCACTATTTTAGGCATTAAAAGTAAAGCAGTGAGCCAAATAGGAAAATACCCTGATCTGCTGGAGCTTGACTCAATAAGTGTTTTAAAATAAATTCATTAAATAACTTTAATGAAATATAGGTTTCACAAATAGGCAGTGCCCCATCTCTGGCTCATTTTTTCAACATTAATTCCTAATACTTGATAATGGGGCCCATCTTTGTTGCACTTGAAATGCTAGCAAATCACAGCACTCCAAGCAGTGATCCCTTCACGTGAGAAAAACCAATCAGTGTCAGGGTTATGGGTGCATGATTTGAGAAGTATAGGTAATTAGAGTCCAGTTACTACCTGGAAGTCACATGAGAATCAGACTGACCAGGGGAGGTTAAGAGAGACAGATCGCTCTTAAGTATATTTGCCTTTTAAAAGAGAATGCTTGTTAACCCCAAATGAATAAAACTCTTTAACAATAGAATTTCAAGTAGTAGTCAAAATGAAACAAAGAATCTCATACCCATTAGGATGGCTGCTATCAAACAAAACAAAAAACAAGACAACAAACGTGTGAGGGTATGGAGAAATTGGAACTGTTGTGCACAGTTGGTGGGAATGTAAAATGGTGCAGCCACTGGAAAACAGTATGGATTTCCTCAAAGAATTAAAAATAGAATTACCAATGATCCAGCAATTGCACTTCTGGGTGTATAACCAAAGTAATTGAAAGCAGGGGCTGGAAGAGATATTTGTATACCCATGTTTACCTAAAACCTGGAAGCAACCCAAGTGCCTAACAACAGATGAATGGATAAGCAAAATTTGATATATACAAATGGTGGGGGCTTCCCTTGGTGGGGGCTTCCCTTGGTGGGGGCTTCCCTGGTGGTACAGTGGTTAAGAATCTGCCTGCCAATGCAGGGGACACGGGTTCAAGCCCTGGTCCGGGAAGATCCCACATGCCGCGGAGCAACTAAGCTCGTGCGCCACAACTACTGAGCCTGTGCTCTAGAGCCCACGAGACACAACTACTGAAACCCGCGCACCCCTGCTCCACAAGAGAAGGCACTGCAATGAGAAGCCCGTGCACCGCAACAAAGAATAGCCCCACTAGAGAAAGCCCATGTACAGCAACGAAGACGCAACGAAGACCCCACGCAGCCAAAAATAAAATAAATAAATGTATTTTTTTTAAAAATGGGACATTCTTCAGCCTTAAAAAGGAGGAAATTTTGACGTATGCTATACCATATGTCCATATGAATCTTGAGAACATTATGCTTATGAAATAAGCCACTCACAAAAAGACAAATACTGTTATGATTCCATTTATATGAGTACTTAGAGTAGTCAAAATCATGAGACAGAAAGCAGAATAGTGATTGCCAGGGCCTGGAGGGAGGAATGGGGAGTTATTGTTTAATGGGCATAATTTCAGTTTTACACGATAAAAAAAGTTATGGAGATGGATGGTGGCAATGGTTGCACAACATTATGAATGTATCTAACTTTTTTATGTTTTATATATTTTACCATAATTTTTTAAATTGTGGAAAAAATTAAACAAAGAATTTCAGACAGTGCAGAGGAAAATATTTTAAAAGTCCTGTATTTCCTCCACTCCTTAAATCACATTTCAGAAGCAGCTATCTACTGTACTTAAAACAACTACTGTGTACTGAGGGCCAGCTATGTGCCATTCCCTTTACACATTACTGTTAATCCTACAGAAATGCTGCATGTTAGGTCTTAAATAATACTTTCATATTTTAGATTTTCATGGAAGCTGCTGAGGCTCAAGAAGTTAAGCGGCTTGTCCAAAGTTACACAGCAGGCAAATAATAGAGACAGAATTGAATCCAGTTCAGCCTGATACCAAGTCCTTGTTCTTTTTTGCAACCTCACACTTCCTCCTTTCCCCTCATTCCTGTGATTCTGGAAACTTCATATGACAGACATATTTCCTGTTAGGCATGAGCAATGTCACTTTGAATGTTGTCTTGAGCAAGATCATTATGACTGAGGTGCCGTTACCCTTAGAAAGAAAAGAAACCCTGAAGGTCTGAATAGTTTGAAATGTCATCATTCTTATGGGAATAGAAAAGAACTAAATCCATTTAATCCCAAAAGACTTTCAAAAAAGATTTTGTTAATGTGGAAACTTGGAGGCTTGAGAGTTTGACATCCATCCCTGGCAGAATTCCAGAACAGATAGATTAACAAGAGAGCTCTTAGTTGATTGCAGATTAGCATAAACCTGGTGGCGCTCTGCTACCTAAAAAGAGAAGGTGACCTTTGACTCCCTTAATTCAAGAATGATGTAGAACACCAGGGCCATGATGGCTCCCTCTACTTTGAAATATGCTTATAAGAGGCAGAATTTAACAAACTAGATGTGCTAGATCTGAAACTGTTGTCCTATGATATACAGTTTAAGAAAATGGTGACATTTAGCTTAGAAAAGAGAGACCTTAAGGAACATGAAGGCGGAATTTCAATACTAGAAATACAATATGAAAGAGGAATTAGGTTAACAGAAGAGAACTGTGTGCTGCTACAGAAGCCAGAAGCAAGGAAATAGATGGCATTTACATGGGGAAGCAGAATTCAGCTCAGTATGAGGAATTGGGGATAACAGCATTTTATACAGGCGGAAATATGGTTTTGGAGTTAGAAATAACATCAAATCTTGATTCCAACACTTTCTTGCTTAATGCCATTGGACAGTTTACACAGCCTCTGAGACTTTTCTGCAAAATAGAAATAGCAATTCCACCTCCTGGGGTTGATGTCAGGATTAAATAACATTAATCAAGGACTTAACAAAATTCCTAGCTAGTAGCTAATAGTATTACAACTAAGTTTCTCATCATTAAAATTATTAAAAACAGAATAGGGCACTTCAGGAGGGAATGAATGGATGAATTTTTGCCTCTTCATGGACACCCAACCCAAAAATGTCTCAGGAAGAACTGCCCTCTTCTCTGCTCTCACAGCTCTTTTAGCAAAACTGTTTTATGATATTGCTGGGCTGGGTTTCTTACATGGCAATTCTCTAGAATCCTGCACAGTACCTGGCACAGCAAAACTGCTATATAAATGCAGACTCCCTGCATTCTGGGGTGGAGTGCAGTAGACTAGTTGCCTTTTTCCTTTCCCTCTGATTAGGAGGATGTTTGAATTCCAGGTAAGGGGGAAAACGTCACCTTGGTGGTAGAAGTTCTATTTAGTTCCTGATTGGATAAGGAAAAGTAGAGTAAGGGGGGGAGATCGAAAAACCCCACAAATATGATGTGAAGAAAAGAGACGAAGGAAATCTTGATCACCTACATTTTCTGTCAGGTAGGAGAAGAACATATTAATTCATTTAATCATTTAGTCAACAAATGTTGATTGACTACTGTATGCTAGGGATTGACTACTGTATGCTAGGGGCTGTACTGGGCCAAGGTTTCTGCCCTTACTGGAGTGGTGTTTTGAGTCCAAGAGAGAAGACAGACATGACAATAAAGTGGGGTGAATATTACGATGAGACCGAATTCCCACGTGAGCGGGTTTGGGGACAGCAATCTAGTTATTAGAAGAATTAGAACACTTGTCCCAAAGAATAAGAAACATGTTTTTTTGCCTATTTCTGTGTTTCTTTGGGGAGGCTGGGTGAGGGAGGGGTGTTCATGGATAATGGGGGTTTTGGCACTAAAGCCACCCATTGGTGCAGCCAATGAGATACTATGAAGACACCTACCAGGCGGACCTACCTAGCCTAAGGGGTCAGGGAAGGCCTCGAAAGGGAAGTACTGTAATCTCAACGCCGAGACGTAGGAGCCTTACAGAGATCTGGTGAGAAACCTGTTATAAGATGCAAAATTTTCAAGGATGTGAACTACTGTCCAGAAGTGGTTGATATTTCAGACCAAGCATCAGACTCTCTTGTAAAACCACACGTTTTAACTTTCTAGGTTGCGGCTTTCTAAACTGCAGTCGCTTCGGCGGCACTAGCTATCGAAGAACTAAGTAAAACTCGAAACCCTAGCAAACTGTGCGTGGCGCCGTGGAAGGCGCGCAGCACTTCGGGTCTTGTAGTCTGGGACGGACTTCGAGTCCCATAGCGCTGTGCGGCGGTACGTCGCGCCTGCGTGATGCGGGCGGCGGGCAGCGCAGAGTGCGAGGCTCTTTTGTTCGGCCGAGGGGAGGGCCGTTGGCCGGGGCCTGCGGTACGCCGCTTCAGTGAGGGGCTCAACCGCGGTCAACCGGCTTGTTGCTTTTCTGGTCGCCACTCCCCTGGCCGGCCCGACAAGACGCGCTAGTAGCGCGGCACCGATTTCTCTCGGGCTCGTGGGCGCTGCTCTGAGGTGAAGAGCCCGCTAGAGGCGGGGAAGCGGGGGGGAGGCGCGCGGAGGCGGCGGCGGCGGCGGCGGGAGCCCTGGATGAGGGGCCGCGCGCTCGCGGCGGAGGTCGGGAGCGGGGAGCGTGTCTGAATCCCGCGCCCTTCCCGCGCCGAGCCCTCCGCCGGGCGCAGTGAGTAGGACGACTGGCGCGAGAAGGATGGAGAGGGCGGGGCGGCGTCTCCTGAGCCAGAAATTGAAGCGATTCTGGGTGGGCCGAGCACTTGCGGGTCGCCCTTCGGGCCTGGGTAGACCAAGACAATGCTCCTTGGGTTGGGTGGGCGGCTGCGGGATTGGGCTGGAGAGAAAACACTGGGTAAATTGGGAAGGGGACGGACGGGGCAGCCTGGATGCTTGGACAAGCGTAGGGAGCGTTGATGACTGCGAGACCCGAGGTTTAGAAATGTAACCTGAGAATATTGGGTCCAGCCGGGGCTGCCAGAGGAATTCCTCTTGCAGGGCTGGGGAACGGTAACTTCGAGGAAATTGTAAGGGTGGGCCGGGCGGCCCAAAGTGTGCTACTGGGGGAAGAGATCTGTTGAATAAATCGAGGAAGGGGCTAGAAGGAGGGGTAGTATTTGCTTGGCTTGGCTCGGGTTGGGGGGCGGGGGGGAGGCGGGGAGAAGCTGTCAGGGCAAGTGGGGCGGAGGTCCCGAGAGCATTTTCTGTGAGGTGTGAAGAAGAAAAGGGGGAAACTGGCCACCCCTTGCTTCCCGGTTGATCGGCAGTAAGAATAATGTGTGAAGAAAAGATGGAACACACTTTTTTCCTTTTTCCAGATTTTCTACTACCTTCACTCCTTGATTCCTTTAGGGAGTTAAAAAGTCCAAGTGCAGCTCTTGCTTTGATTCATAATTAGTTCCATACGTTTTTATCTGAGATTGTTGCTGGTCACAATTTCACTGCGGTGAAATTGTAGAAATGTGTAGATGAGTTCATATTTAAGGAATGAAGTTAACTTAGTGAGAGATTATGAGACGGTGTGGGAGGTTGAGAGAGAAAGTGGAAAAGTTCGTGAGATTGTGAGGTTTTTTCCCTTGGGCTCTTAAGTTTTTTAGGCAGCTTGTCCTTGCTGGAAATTTTGAATACGAAGGGAGCAGTACTTTACCCCTTTTCCAAAACTTAAGATGAAGATTTTTCATGTATTGTTGCTATATTCAGACATGTATTGGTTGAGCTCAATTAAGGTGGAATTTACAAAAAGATCAGTTACGCTAGAACCTCTGGCCAGGGGTAAGCTACCCTCAAATGTGTTAAGAATCAGGTCGCCATTTTGGAGTAGTTCTAAAAGGTCCAGGGTTTTGGAATGAATGCAGGATTACAATTGGGAAATTAGTGCCAGTGCTCCAAGGTGCTTACAGATATTTACATGGAAAGTGATATGACTGAAGTGCACAGTGTTGGAATCGGCCACACCTTAATAAAGCTTCAAGGCAGTTCAGAATCTTCAGTCATTTCCAATTTTCCCTCTGGTGCCATTTTCTTCATTGGCTGCTGTAACCTAAATTGTTTTTCACTAAAAATGTAAATATTGTGTAGCTTGGTGTTTCTAGCTTCTTGATTAAAGGAGACCAAGTAAGGGTACCCTATCCTTCTGCATTTTGACTACAGGATACTGATATTTTTATAATCATCTAAAGAAAGGAAGCAACCATTATATCTTCTGGTGCCCATTTTAGAGACTAGGAAAATGTTTCTTTTTGAATTCACACCACTTAAAGAGAATTGATGAATTTTTGTCATTTTCTAGTAGTTTATCCATTGAAATCTTCCTTTTTCATATACTCTTTCTCGTGGTATAACAGATTTTGCATTAGATTTGATGGCTTTTTTGCATCATAGGTTATTTCGCTGAAGAGTTTTTGGAATAAGATGCTAATGGCTAGTTTATGGCCTATATAAGATGGGGCCATGCCTCTTGTTCATTCAAGTGTCTGACACATAGTTGACCATTCATATTGTTGAATGAATGGATAGGGCTTTGAGATCTTTTCTGAGAATCCCGTATTAGTAGAATGGCCTGATGTGCATTTATGTAATCAATTTGCCTGTTTTTGTTCTATGATGTTAGGCAGAGTAAAACTGTTGCCCTTGGCATGCTTGTCTTAGCCTATGTTTTTAATATACTCACCATGGTATTAAATACAGAAAAGGTATGCAGATTGTGCAAGTGGCAGTTTTAAATACCTTAGGCAAGTACTAGGAGAGGACCCAGGTTCTGGGTTTCAACAGCAAGCTATATAGTATTTTGAATATTTTCTGTTATATAAGTATCTTGAAAAATCATTTGTGTCCTTTGTATAGAGTTAATAAGTATTTCTCAATGGCGATGTCTACTGAAAAATTGAATAGCCTTTCCACAGTTAATTGGAGAAGTTGTTTGAATGAGGACAAAATTCTGATCCTGTAAGTATTTGAATAACTTGTTAAATCTTTCCTGCCTTTTAAGCTTTTATGATTTACTGACCAAAAGGGGGCAGCCTAATTTGTCTGTGAAATTGTGCCTTTCTTTAATAATAGCAAACACATTGAGGGCCTAACAGAACTATGGTATTTGAGAAGTTAATGTCACTGCTCTGGTTTTGTTTTGCTGTCTATGAATCCTTTGGTCTCTGCTCTTATTCTGGTCTTGCTTTCTAATCACTTTTATTTCATTTTAAACTAAAATATTTGCTTCAGGTATCACTGTGTTCTACTAATATTTACAGATCCCTATGGCCTCTAAACCCAAGCTATATCTATAGTTTCATTTCTATCAGCACCATGAAAAGGAGTTAGCCAAGCTTCTGGACACGTCTCAGATAAAATTCTAATTTTATTCACACACTCGTATTCTAGTCCTAGATCCTGGAATTCGAGGACAGGGATTTCTTTAAAAATGAAACTCCTGCCCACCCGGTATGTGGCACAAGTTCTTGTTTTCTGCTCAGTAAAGTTTTCCATCTGGAAAGCATTTGCCTCACAAACAGCCACAGCTAACAAACTGAAAGCAGTTTAGAAACATGAGTTAGGAGGACTACAAACTGAATATACTACACATGGCTTCACCTGCCTTTTGATGACTGGTATGTAGTTGCTAATGCTCAGCAAGGATACTTACTTCTTTGCAGATCCGATTTATTTGCTCATCATTCCCTAAAAAGCTGACAACTTTGGACTTCTGTTCCCTCGTTATCTCAATCTGAGACATCCATTCTTATTGCCCATATAGGGTTCAACACCTTACACTGGGTCCAGACCTACCTTTGAGTGTCTGAGTAAAAATAGAAACAAAATGCTTTGGGAACCACAAGAAGAAGAGAAATAATATTTAGCTAAGTTGGGTAAGCATCATGGAAGAAGTAGCATTTGAGCTAGCTCTTGAAGGAGGGGTAGAATTTTGACTACTAGCCTTGGACAGGAGCACACTTCTTAATAATGAGCAAACCCATGCATGGAGGAAATGTGCAGGATATGTTCAGGTTGTACTTTTCTGTTTTGACAGGAGAATAGGTTTTGTGAGGGAAGTAGGAGTATGGAATGGTTGGATCTAAAGGGTGTTAGATGTACATTGTGGAGTTTGGCCTTTCTTATAAGAAAGGAGGAGGAGACTTTGTAGAAAATTTTTTAGCAGTTACCTGCCACTTTCCTAATCAGTGTACTCCCACCCAAACTGGTTTACACACTGCCTCCGTTGCTTTTGTTAACAATAGTTCCTTGGGCTAAATCGCCTCCCTCCAGTCCAGTTTTTCAAATGCTATTGGAACCTTGCCTCAATCACAGCTTTTCAAAACCTTTCTAATCACCCTAGCCATTTATTCTTCCAAGCCCCGGTAGTGCTTTGGTGGCGGCTACTTCTTGCTTACATTTCTTTTGCTAATTACTGCATACTCCTGTCATTTCTTCTATTGAAATTAACTTCAATTGCATTTGTACCTTTCTGGTATGTTTTTAATCGTACAGTCCTGGCTCTGTGTCTTACCCTTGAGGGGGGGACTTGGGGAATTTTTCTTTGCTTCGGTAAGCCTTAGTTTCCTCGTTTGTGAAATGGGCTTAATAGAGATGTCCTGAGCATTGAATTAAGTGCCTTTCTATGCATTAAGTGTTAAGTATTCAATAAAAGTTACTTTGTTATTACTAGTCCTTATGGGATTTTCAAAAGCCTCTACTTCCTGTGAGTCTGCATATGCTGCTAGCCTGGCCAAACAGTTCCATTTGCCTGGGTCTGAGGGGATTCCACATTCTGCGATGTGGAGTTTTCAGAAGCTTTCAGTGCTTTAGCTGGGATGAATTGGTCACCCTTTATTCCACCCAAGCTCTTAGTAAATCCTTATTGATTTGATTTGGTTTTTTAATAGATGGTATTAAAAGCTAGTAGAGCTGTAGTTATAAACTTTTATAGCCATTAACTGACTAGGTGTTAAACCTAAGCTAGAGGTGAAAGATGGGTAAGGAAAACAAGGAATGGAAAAAGGAGCTAGATGAAGGAATGAAGTGGGGAGTGAAATGCACGGTAATTATCATCTGGTCCTTGTCTGCTGCTCCCTCAATATAGCTCTTTCTACCTGGCCACACTTCTGTTCTTCAGATCTAGCAAGCTCTTCTCACCCTAGGACTTTGAACCCACTATTCTTTAAATTTGGTACGTTTTTCTGATTTTTGCCGAGTTGTCTCCTTGTCATTTGGGTCTCTGTTTAAATGTTACTTAATCTGAAGATATTTTCTTTATAGCATTTATCACTAATGTTTTCTTGCTTCTTGTCTGTGCCCTACTCTGCACACACATGCATGCATGCATACACTCCCACTCATGCTGACTCATTTGTCCACATTAGAATATAAACTCTAAGAGACCAGGGATTTTATTTTGTCTGTCTTGTTCACCCTATTTGTCTAGTGTCTCACGCATAATAGGCACCCAATATAGGTAATTGTTAAATGAATGAATACTGTAGGAGCATGTTCACAGGAAGAGTTAACCTAAACTT